CCACGACCCCCCCTGAGTCCCACAACATCCTCCAACAAGCGTCCCGTCTCTGGACCGCACACAGCATCACCCAAACCTACTGCAGCAAAAAAAAGTAGCAGGACAGGGGAGGCCGATCACAGCAGCATCAGCGAGTTCAAAGCAAAGACTTACTTCTGCCAAATATTCTGCCGCCTCCTCCACTGCCATGTTTCTCAGCCTGCAGCTCAGAGTGTGAAACCTGAGCACTCAATTACTGTGGCAGCTAGCAGCCCCATAGCCCGGCAGCTATAGGGAGGGATGGGTGGGGGGGGGAGAGAGAGAGAGACGAGAGGGGGAGGGACCGTCTGAGAGAGTGAAAGGGTGAGAGAGAGAGAGGGAGATAGGGGCATTATGTCACGGCTAAAAATACCTGAGAAAGTCCAGAGCATGTGGGAGGGATGAGGAGTTCCGGCGTTAATCTTGAACCAACTCTCGGCGGAGTGACGCGGATCAGACAGAGTGCAAACACGAGCGAGTGGCAGCGAAGGAAAAAGCAGATGATTAACGAGAGAAGGCACTTTCTGAATTCAGAGGCCTCCTGCACACATCCTGCTGCTCGCCGTTGTTGCAGAAGTGTTGGGTGACGCATACGAAACCACCTTATATCCAGTAAAAACATGAATGTGGGATGTAATGAGCACAATGATGTCCTGTTTTCCAAAACAAATACTTTGAAGTGTATGGATTTAGCTTATCTCAGGGCTGAAGCAACATTAGAAGAAGACATTTCAATTCAGAAAATGAAGATAAGATGTTGATCAGTTTACCAGATAAAACCCAAAATGAGTATAAAAGAATTTAAGAAATTATAGATAAAAATGCTGCTTGAAAAACATAATGTGCAACAGTAAAGGTGTTCTTAGGGTTTCTAAAGATGTGTAGAAGTATCAGGATTGAAACAGGAAACAGATATGAAGCACGTAGCCGGCAAAAGTTAAAAAGTTAAACTTCATTCTACTCGTTTTCAGACATTATCTTCGGTTATTTGATTTGTTTTTCATTTTGTGTGTTTTATTTTCTCATTTCCAGCCTTTATGATGCTGCTGCATGCCTGAAATCAATTTAAAAAATAAATAAGAAATGCTGCACTGCTAAAAAAAAGTCTATCTGAGGTGGTTGAACTGCAAAACGTCCGTTTACTACTCGGTCACTCAATCAGCTGATTTTTATGTTTTTGGTTTTTTTTTGTTTTTTTTAATCTACAAAAACTTTAGTGTGTTTATCCAAGTCATGCAAAACTTCACCTTCATACCATATTTATAACACATTTTCAGATTTCTTCTGATGTGGATTTGTCAGGGCTGATACTGAAGCCGATTCTTAGTAATCAAGAGAGACCAACGGCCGATATGTGGAGCCGCTATACTGTCAAACAGGAGTTACAGCATGACGAGATGTTGGGACGTTCTCCTCTGTTTACTGTGAGATTAACTGATGGACATGAATAGTTTTTCTCCTGCAGATCTGTCTGCTGTCCTTCTCTGTTTTGCTATAATCTTTCTCTGCTCTGTCACTTTTATTGCCCACTAAGGTCCAGATTGTGGCGCTCCAGATAGCGCTAGCCTCTTAGCATTAGCCTAGCACCTTCAGTAAAATAAGCTGCATCGTTTCTGTGTGAAAGAGGAAACTATGCTGGTGTTCATCAAATCTCCAGCATTTCTGCTCCCTCACCTTTCAAACCCAGCTCCTCTAACTGTCCACTCTGCAGCTGCATTCTCTGTCTCTCTGTGTAAACAATCGCTGTCTGTGATTGGATGTTACTCATGATGCGTAACAGCCAATCAGAGAGAGCTGTGGGCGGGACATTCAGAGACCACAGAGTGACTCCAGAGAGAGAGAAAGCTGCTACATCAGAGCAGATTTGATTTATTTTGCGATAATCTGTGAATACAAAATACAACATCAATAATCTAAAAATGCCAAATATCGGCCTCAAAAATCGGTTGGGCTGATAATTGGTTGATCCATATGAACAAAGTTTATACACACTTGTAAAGACCATCTATATCATGGCATTCTTGAGTTTCCAATGACTGAGAATTTTCTATGATCCAATCATTGAAACACACGAGTCACAAAAATACACAATCATGCATTTTGGTTCTTTTGTAGATTTATTAAAGGTCTTCTGGAAATACGACAAACTCTGTTGGATCTAAAATATACATACACAATGCTAATATTTGGCCATTTTCATCTGAATTAGGCACTTTTGGTTTCTGTCTGCAGCTTTCTTTGACCCTCCTCTAGACAGAACTGTCAAAGAATTATTCAGAATGGGTTTAATGATGCCATCGTAGAAATTTAGCATTAGAAGGGTCATTGGAAACTCAAGTCTGACATGATATACGTGGTCTTTACAAGGTTCACACAAGGTGTAGCATATGTCATGATTCCTTCTATGTCAAAAACAAATTCTAATACATTCACGTTCAAACATTTTCCCAATCTGGTTTATTTTATAAGGAATGACCTCCTTTAGCTTTAGCTTAGCACACCTGATGCCATGATGTTTCCAATCTATTAGATAAGACGTGTTAAGAAATCACCAATGTGGATGGAAACTAACAGATAAAGCCTTAAAGGTGCGACAAAAAGTCTTTAACAGTTCGACATAAAGGTGCTGGGAATCATTAAACTTGTTAAATCTAAAGCTAATAGTTGCTTTGGACACTTTGAGTCCTTTCCTCTAACTTTAACTTTTACTTCAACACAATTTTGACACATAAATAATCAAAACTTAGCTTAAATCACAAATAAATCTGCAGCTGAATGCGTGGAACCAAGCTCAGGAAATCCCAGTCTGACCTTTCATATCCGAATCCATCATCAGAGTTAGCACAGCAGCTAAATAAACCCCAGTTAGCTCATGTGACTAAAGCAACACACTCAACCTGATCTCCTTTATTTTATATCTTCATTCAGACAGCCGACGGACGCAACGAGCCAATCAGACGCGAAGAGCAGCAGATAGATTAGCAGCATTTAGACGCTAACTCAGGTTTAGCGCCACAAACAGCATCAGCTAACTCTGCTAACGTGAGTAAATGACCTGTAAACACGTTAAAGTGTCAGTTATCAGGCCCCAGAGTTGATGTTTGAACCCAAAGAGGAAGAAGTCGATAGCAGCCAAACAGTCTCGAGCTAATCAGATGAAGAACTAATCAGGATCACAGTCTGGGAATCAACTTAAAGTGAGTTTGAAGAGCTTTCAGCAACAGCAAACACACGACAAGTCCTAGAAATCACAGGGTACAAGACATTCTCTGATCTGATGCTGCTATCGGCAGGAAAACGCGATTTATTTCTGTCTTTCTGTTTCTTTCTGGTGCTTCTTTTGCTTGTTTTTGCAGCAAAAGTGATAAAGAGTCAAAATGGAGCATCATGTTTAGTTTCTGCTTTCTAAAACCACCACTAGATGTGGTTCGGACTTGACAAAGCAACAGTTTGCATCAGACTTTTTGACCATTTCAGGTCAGAGCCAGCAGAATTAGCTTTTCCTCAACAGTCATTTCATGCATTTTTAAATACCAGCCTTCACCGTCTCATTCCGTCCGGGCATGTCAGGACTGAACTCCTGAACTCAAGGTGAAGAAAAATGAGGTTTTACGAACCAGTTTTAATAAGTTACCTCAACGTGAATTTAGTTTTTAACCAACTGATGCAAAATTTTGAGTTTAATTTACACACGATATTAAGTTGATGCAACATTATGATGTCAATTCAACCAATCAAAATATGTCTGCGTTTAATTAAACTGTGAAAATGACAAACAGAAAATGTTGGAATTACATGCAGTAAAGGTGATAAAGACCCAGCTAGCGCTGATGCTAACTGCATTTTATTTGGTTTCTGCCTTCTAAAACCATTACTAAACCTGATATAGGACTTGACATCACTGTAGTTAAAGGTTTGTGAGGTTTACAGGTACAAAAACTATTAGTTACTTTTGGGAAAAAGCAATTTTTGGGTGTTTTGTTTCGGTTAGGGAACCTTTGTTGGCGTCGCTTTGACATAAACCACATTGATAACTAGAGGGGTGCGCCGAGGTCAGCGTCCTATTTGGTCATTTTTACTAAAGTTGTCCAAATCTGCACCAAAATTAAATGAGTTCCTCTTGTGGTAAAGCTCAACCTCCCCGAGTTTCATCACATTTTTATCGGCGGTTTTTGCGTAATCTTCTCTTACCGGAGGAACGACAGGAAACAAGCATAGTCTTCGGTAAAAGTAGAGCTTCAGTGATCAACCAATTAGCTGTCGACTGTTTTGAACAATTTTTTTCACTATTTTCTCACATTTTACAGACCAAGCAGCTGATCAGTTAATTAAGAAATTAGTCAACACATTAATCGACAAATCAAGTGTTGGAACTGCTAAACAAGCAGCCGCTTCCTGCCTTAAAACCTACAAATTAACGACCCTTCCATCCGCCCCAACATCCTCCCACTGAACTACACATTTTTAGCCTCTTTTAGCTCAATTATTTAGCTTTTCTAGACTAAAAAATCCACTATTACAAGCCTAACTACAAGTCTTTTGGTTTTCTGACCCCTCAGCGAACAACAACAAAAAGACCAAGTGAGCAATTAACTGATAAACATAATGGAGGATTTTGCAGCCAAAGAATCACATATTTGTGCATGAATGGCACTGGTGGAGACCAAAACAGAGCAAAAACAACCATAACCGCTTCATATTTTTGCAAAAACCACAGAAGCAGCAAATGACCCAAAAAAATTTTTAAAAAATCAATAAAGAAAGATAAAAATAAACCACATGGAGATACAGAATGTGAGCCACAGGACATTAAAACTTGTGGGGATCATTAAAATGACATAATAGTGGTAATAATGAAGAAAAGCAATCCAGGACATATTCAGATGAACTAACTGTGTGGACAGAGAGAAGCAGTAAATAAACACCGTGTTACTTATTAAATGAGGGAAAACACTGAGTGTCGCAACAACCAGACATGAGCTGATATTAAAGCATCTGCTTCAGCTGGAGACACATTTTCTTTTCAGGTACGTTTACGAGTGTGAAGCTTAGCTCCTGTTGTTTTAATGAACATTGTAGAGTCTGTTATAATCATAAGTGTCTCTTTTCTTTCCTGTTCAGGACTTGTGCACTGATAAAAGAATGACGGTACGTAAATTGGAGCATTTCAGCGTTCGGTTTTCTTAAACGGTTAAAAATTAGAATCATTTACACCCTGTAATAAAACAGACTTTAATTATCAACGATGTTTCTGCATAATTCTCTTCCAGGTGCATGTTTTTTAAGATAATATAAAGAAAAAAAAATACACGTTTAACCAGCGACTGATTGGAGTAGAGACAAGTGATTCATCGTTTGTTTTTGCTTTTTTTTTTAACTTTACAACTACGACTTTAAGTGCCTTAATAATGAAACTAACTGTTGTCTGCAGCTGTTTGTTATAATTATATGATTATTGATTGACATTATTTGCACTAAAGACATGTTAGTAAAAACAACAAACTGTTTGTTGGAAGGAGTTTGTGAGAAAATGAATGGTAATATTTTTTAGTTTTCTCTCGTGGCTGTGATCCGTCACGTTGTAAATCAACTGAATAGTGACGACAGACCTGAACCGTGGCTTTAAAGTCGCTATTCGGTCCATTTTTACTGACTTTTGTCACATGGCTGTTGGTCACAGATGAGTCAGTCGAGGCTTTTCAGCCGCAACAAGGAGCTCAGATGTTTTTTGTTTTTTTACAGAATCTGGTTCACATAAACGCTTTGTTGTCGGTATTTTTCTAAATGAGACTTAAAGAAGAAAAACGGGCGAAATATCACGATTTACAAACATGAGAGCGTCAACGGCCGTCAAAAAGTTGGAAATACAACGATTCCTCTTGTTTTCTTGCTCTGAT